AAACTACAGCCCTTTAAGAAGAATCTTGTCTGCCATCTGCTGGACACTTTTTGTTGTGCTCATATTTAGACGTCCTATTTTGCAAATGCTGCCTTTCTGAAGTTTGGTATGCTTGTTTGTCTTTGTGTCTATGGTGTATAATGATGTGATTATGATGCTGTAATTCTGAGTGTTTTATGTGCTGCAGAACAGGAACCTGCTGTAAAACAGCAATTATGCTGAGTCAGGCTTGATTTTTAGTAATATTTTCCTGTTAAATAAATAAATCAAATCAAATCAACATCGCTGTAAATTGTCCAAACTGTGCATATGTGATAGGTAGGCATCCAGTCCTAAACATGGCCATATGCAAATGTTGTGGATTGACAAATGTGACACCTAAAGGCACTATAAAAAGGCCTTATTGTACCTGAAAAAATCTCCCACTCAAACCATTAATCCTTGCAGTTTTAAAACTGCAGTGTAAAGTTTAGACACTTAGAAACCACGAAAATATTCATCACTAGGAGCTACTTGGTCAGGACAGCTTGTTGACCTTAAATGTGTCCCAAAAAGTGCATAACTGCCATTTTCAATATGCTCTAAAGCATGGTGTCCGCAGGTCCTTGAAAAGTCTTAAATTCACATATATAAAATTAAGACCTTAAAAAGTCTTAAATTTGTTTAAAAATGTGCAAGTTGGTCTTAAATTTGTTACTCAAAGGTCTTAAATTTTGTCGGGCAGAAGCTATTAAAGTTCTCCGTCTCCCCTGGCCGTCTCTGCAGAACCATCGCTTATATTTTCGGTCTTAAATTTCATTCAAGATGGTATTAGAAATGTCTTAAAAAGTCTTAAATTTGACTTGCTAATACCTGCAGATACCCTGTTAAGGGCTGTGTTCTGGAACCTCGGCACACTTAGCTCCTCTGACTACTTTAATGTTTGCTTATAGTTTTGTGCACCTGTGCATCAGTTCATGTCCTACAAAAGTCTCCTGACACCATATTGTGAAACTTAAAGATAATAATTGTTAAATCAAATACAATTTTATCTTTAATTTGGAGCTTGTTGACTGTAAATTTGGGCCAAAGCTTCTACACAACGCAGTGCCCTAAATTTAGCAGTGGTTGGTTAGTCTGATTGGTGTGGGCGTGGGATTTTTTTTCCCTTTTTGTTAGGAGTTTACTGATTTTCACATCAAACATGGCTTTGGGGGTAAAGTCACTGTAAAATGTTTGAACTTTGCAAAAATGTACATGATACATGGGCATCAAGTCCTTAACATGGCTTTATGCTAGTCTCTGAAATTCACCACTGTGCCACATAGTGGCAGCACAAAAGTTCCCATTAGTGTCTGAATAAAATCTCCCAATGACTTTTTATCCTCGCAGCCTCAAAACTGTTGTATCAAATCTGGACCCTTTAAGAAACAAATAAGATAATCATGAATTGCAGCTGCCAAAGGACGTGGCTGGGGCCTTAATGAAGTTGGACGTGTCCCAGTTGGTGCATGACTGACCTTTTCTGTTGTATTTGGCTGTGCTTAAAGAAACTTGACAGATTGGCGACTATTTAAGCTGGATGTACACACAGTCTGTTTTGCCCAGGGGTGTGAGGGCAGTTTTAATTTTACTTGTGATTAAAATGTCTCAACATGTGGTGGAGTTCTGAGTTGTTTGAAAAGCTGATGCACAGATATTTTTAACATTTCTCTTTCCAAACTGATCATTTTGGTCCTGTGTCATTCTTAAAGAGTTCTGTTTGATCCTGATGGTCCCTGCAGATCCTGGAGAATGATGTGAGACATGTGGCAGAGGAAGTGAAGGTCAGCCTGGCTCTGATCGCTGATTCTTCCTGGTTGAAAACAGAAGACCGAGTCCTGCTGGAGGAAAACCTGGGCTGTCTGAAGGGGAGATTAGCAGCTCTTGGAGGTGCTCTGAGTCAGCAACTCGACCAAATGAGAACCAGAGCAAATGAACTCGCAGGCTACAGGGTTAGTCTTCATTGTGTTTCTCTCATCTGTTATCAATTCAGTTTATTTATATAGCACCAAGTCATAACAAATGTCATCTAAGAAAACCAGCAGATTGTGTTTAATCACTTCATCAATCTCCCATCCTGAGCAGCACATTGGTGACAGTGGAGAGGAAAAACTCCCATTGAACAGGAAGAAACCTCCAGCAGAACCAGGCTCGTTCCGGGTTTATTTTCCAAAGAAAACACATATTGTTGAAAATATATAGAGTAGAGAGATTAAAGACAACAGCAGAGTGAGGAAATGTGCTCAGTTTGTGCTCCAGCAGTCTAAGTCTATAGCAGCAGAAATGAAGAATAATTCAGGAAACCTAAGTCTAACTATAGGATTTATCAAAAAGGAAAGTCTTCAGTCTAATCTTAAAAGTAGACAGAGTGTCAGCCTCATGGACAGAAACTGGAAGTTGGTTCCACAAGAGAGGAGCTTGATAACTGAAAGCTCTGCCTCCCATTCTACTTTTAGAAACTCCAGGAACCACAAGTAAACCTGCAGTCTGAGAGTGAAGTGCTCTGTTAGGAAAGTATGGAACAATAAGATGTTTAATATATGATGGAGCTTGGTTGTTAACAGCTTTGTATGTTAGGAGTAATATTTTAAATTCTATTCTGAATTTGACAGGGAGCCAGTGGAGAGAAGCTAAAACTGGAGAAATATGATCTCTCCTTCCAACTCTCATTAAAACTCTAGCAGCAGCATTTTGGATTGACTGAAGACTTCTTAAAGAGGTTTTTGGACCCAGATAATAAAGAATTACAGTAATCCAGCCTAGACATGTTGAATGCATGAATCAGTTTTTCTGCGCCATTTTTGGACAAGATGTTTCTAATTTTAGTAATAATACACAGGTGGAAGCAGGCGGTCCTCGTAACATTTTTATGTGGGGGTTAAAAGATACATCCTGATCAAAAATAACACCAGGGTTATTCACATTAGAACTGGAGGCCAGATTAATGCCATCCAGAGGAGCTGAAAGGCTACAAAGCTGATCCCTAAGATGTTCAGGTCCAAAACCCATAACTCTGTTTTATCTGAGTTTAGAAGCAGAAAGTTAAGAGTCTTTCAAGTTTTATGTCTGTAAGACATGCTTGTAGTTTAAGTAACTGGTTGGATTCATCAGAGGTGTCAAGTAACTAAGTACAAATACTTTGTTACTTTACTTAAGTAGTAATTTTGGTTATTTATACTTTAGTGGAGTAATTATTTTGCAGCCTACTTTTTACTTCTACTTCTTACATTTTAATTCAGTTATCTGTACTTTCTACTCCTTACTTTTTAAAAATGCAAACAGTATTTCATTTTTTATTTAACTTAGACTTGTTTTTATTCCATCTTTTCATTGTTCAGAAAAATATATATATATAAATCTATCCAGACACATGGAGCCCATGGATAGAGTGAGTTTGATTGTGGTTGATAAGAAGTGTAAATACAGTATAAACCATCCTGACATCCTGTTGGATTGAACTCACTCCATCACACCTGTGTGACACAAATCACATCACATTCCAGCAGGACAAACTGCAGCACAGTGATTCCCAACCAGGGGTACAAGCACCCCTTGGGTTATGCGAGCATATTACGAGGGTATGTGGAAAAATTTCGCAGGTGCACAAAAAAACAAGTAAAAATAGCAATGTGGAAATCACGATTTGACACAAAATGGAATCCAGTATGAAAAGCAGAATCTCACAGAATTTGCTCATTTGGGTGAATTTCTGATGTATTTTGGACGTTGCTGTTTTCTGCACCTGCCATTACCTGGCTTACTTATTTAATTACTTATTCACTTTCAAGGCAACATTTTTATCTTTATCTTTAATCTTTCTTTAAAAAGAATAAAATGCCTGAGAAATAAATGTTCTGTGGGGTTAAATAAATAATTTTCATTTAATAAACAGTTGTTGTACATTATAGTTTTGGAGAATCATCCTTACGTTTGACTGAAGGGGTACTGGTATTACAAAATGGCTTGGGGTAAACAAGTCTAAAAAGGTTGGGAACCACTGAGGTAGAAGATGTAGCCTAGAATGAAGATGACCGTGGATGAGACAAGTAGTCCAGCCTGGCCCTTGCCTTCCTACGCAGTTCTGCTCAATTTTAGTTTCCCTTACCAGGTTAAGTCTGGTCAGTTAATTCCAAATTTTTCAACATTTTAATTTAACATTATACTCATTATTATTAACTTTAGAAGAAAAATGTGTGTGTGTGTGGGGGGGGGGTGCTATAACAGTGGCACAGCCGCTTTTATCCTTAATGGCTTTTTTTAAGTGTTCATTACTTTTACTTTTTTACTTTAAGTTGTTTTAAAACCAGTACTTTTATACTTTTACTTGAATAAAAAGCTCAAGTTGATACTTCTACTTCCAAAAAAGTATTTTTAAACCCTAGTATCGATACTTCTACTTAAGTAATGAATGTGAATACTTTTGACACCTCTGGGATTCATCAGGTTTCATGGATAAATATAATTGAGTATCATCAGCATAACAATAACAATTCATACCATGCTGTTTAATAACTTTGCCTAATCACAGCAACCTTAAAGCTCGGTGGCACATAACCATTCATTAAAAACTAATTAATTAGATCTAAAATATAAATATTAATTAAGGAAATGTTTCTTTGAACAGTCTGGTTGGGATGGGATCTAGCAGACATGTTGATGGTTTGGATGAATCGATTATTTTAGATAATTCAGAGGCCTCAACAGGACAAAAACTGTCCAAATATAAATCAGGTTCTAGTGACACTAAAGCTTCCTAATCTGACAGAGAATCAGAGACAGTAGCAGGAAGTTTGTTATGAATTTTATCTCTAATTGAAAATAATTTTATTTATAAAGAATAGGTTTTAATGACTTACCTGAGGAGCACTTTTAGTTGAGCTCAGGTCTCAGCTGTGGGTTATTAGACCCACTGCAGCATGATGTATGCATTATGAAAACCCTTTACATTATTCTGCTTCAGAAAAATGGATTCACTTTAAAGCTCTAGACCAGGGGTCACCAACACGGTGACCGTGGAGACTTTCTGAGTCGCCCTCAGGACACATTCTGAAAATAGCACTGATCGATTGATCGTCATGGAAGCAGCACACTAAATGTTAAACAATGGAACCAAAAGTCACCTGTGTGCTCTTTGGAGCTTTTATTAACAAAACACTTCTAAAGAATATCAACAAGAGCTGCTGTTAAAGCCACATCTCCCGTTAAACAACAAACTCTCAACAAGTTCTCTCCTGTGTCTCCCTGTGAGTCCCTCTCTGTCCTGCAGCTGCACACAGACACACACTGAACCCCACCCCAACCCCCACCCTTCAGAAAATTAACCCTTACAGCACAGATATTCAGTTTGTTTACCTCTGAGTAGAGGGGAAACGAGCATTAAAACGTAGGAAAGCAAATTATTTTCACAATGATTGGGATAATTTTTTTTCTGTACTTGTTTTTTTATATTACATAACTGATCTACAGTAGGTCTCTACAAGAGTCAGTAGGAATGATGAGCACAAAGGGCATGAGTTAAAGGTTTTACTGGTAAAAGTTTCTTTAAAAATGGAAAAGAAGTTACAATTTTCTTAAAGAAATAGACTACACTTTTTTAAACAGGTGTATTTTAAATA